GCACATTTCTCAGATTCAAGAAGACCAGAAAAGGAAGCAAAATAAGGCTGAACATTGGTTAAAACTGCAGCTTCATGTTGTCAAACAGCTGCTTTCAGCATAACACATCCCCTGCTGAACCCCAGTATAAAAGCTTAAAGTGCCAACTTGGCGCCTATATTTAGCACCTTTTTAGTCCCTTCTGACGACTTTGTTCTCTCATTGGAGACTTACTTATGAGGCCTAATTTGATCTACTGATTTGGGTTTTAATTAGGGGTGGAACGGTTCACAAAATCCATGGTTCGGTTCGGTTCACGGTTTCGTGGTCACGGTTTTCGGTTCGGTATATGTTGATTGTTAGCCTGACATGTTGGTCGTGTTGCTATTAGCATAAACAAAATGTGTTGCACAATGCTTGCACACTGTTTTTATCAACAACTTTCTTTCCGCCGTCATCGTAGGTCACTATAAATGCAAAGTGGTCCCATACAGCAGACCTATAAAGTGCTGCTGGCGCGTCTTCCAACTCCTGTTCTTTCCCACTCGCCATACCCACACAATTCTCCACAACAACTGATTTTTTTCTGCTACACCCGGCTACGCTGCTTTGGTTCTTCTTCTTGTTTACTACTGGTGGTTGGCTTTGGTTGCAGTATCGCTACCTTCTGCTCTGGAGTGTACACACTTCGCCTATGAGAAAAAGGAGCAGTGCATGAACCGAACGCAACACATGCGAATCGAACCGAATGGTTTGAATGGTTTTCATAAACCGTTCCATCCTCAGGTTTAATTCATTTAAGGTATTTTCAGGTAAGTTAAGGTTTGCTTATCAAAACCTGTTAACCATCTGGAGACAGTACAACTTGAGGTTGGAGTGAAAGTAAACGATTGTGCACCACTTACTGGCCAGGAGGGTCTATCTCCTTTTAACCTGGCAAGCCAGGTTTGGTTGAGTTAAGGTGGATCCACTGGGAGAGGAAAAACCCAGACAGAGTTTGAAGGTCCAAGTTTGTAATAAGGTTATCCTGGGACCTCATTTAGGGAAGCATTTAACTTCCACCTCATAGAGAGCTTTACACCGATTTCGGGGGATTTGCGATTTAACTAGAGATCTTCAGTTTATATTATTAGAGCTAGTAATGAGTTGCTTTCCTTAATTTTGTTGAAGCTTAGGAAAAAGGAGTCAGTGACAGAAAGAAACCACTAAAACGTACTAAATGTTATGTTGAAATTGTTTCATAGACATAGCAAAATAGTTTTTATACGTTTGTACAGGCATTTATTGAGGCCTATTTCAGCAGTTCTCCTAAGGGTTTCACATATTTTATAGCAATATTGGGTTAATATCCAATGGACTCTTTCAGAGAAATATATTATTATATAAAGTTTGGACTTATTGCCCATCACTGTGAGTGACAAAAAAATCTGTCACTCTAAAGTCACTGTAGTAACACTAAGTGCTTAACAAATGTGGTACTTAAAAGTCCATTGAGAACGTTGCCAGATGTGCATCAGTTTTGCATCCTTGTTTTAGTTTAAAGTCTCTCCAAGAAGTAAATGCTTTGTTTTATACTTGTTTGAGCCCTGTCCTGAACCTGTTCTTCTTTTCTCTTCCTTTCCCCTTTGGTCAAAACTAACTTTTTAGCAGGGGGAGATGACAAACCCCTCAGACGCCCCATAAAAACTTAGATTACATCAAAGTTATATAGTTATTTGGTTCTGCTTCCGGTAGTTTGTGAGTCTGGAAAAGTATGGAAGAAGAAAATGATTCTACATTTACACTCACTTATGTTCCATTTTCTGAAAAAGCCATCTATCACACAAACGTAATCATGTAAAAAAAAAAAAAAAAAAACTGTCTTAATATGCATCTTTGATATATGTAAAAAATTTGTAAACCTTTGTGCTTAGTAAAGAAAGTCCCTATGGTAATGACTTTGAAGTTGTATGAGACAGAGAAGGAGAATTATTATGCGAAAGTCCTATCTGCCCTTTGTGCAACACACTCTTGATAACTCCTTCCTCTGTCACCACCATTTAATTCAGGATGAGTGTGCTACCGCTCTCTCTTCTGTCACACCAGGTGGATGCTGAGCGAACTTAGCAGTTGTCTCTTTTGCTACTTCAGCTCTGTTAAATAAGATGGCATAAACCAGTGTGTCACCTAAAAGCCATTCTGTTACAGCCCATATGAGCTCCTCATTGTTTCATGGAACTTTTGCACCACTTGTCAACACATATACTGTTAAGATGTTTAAGAGATATTTACAACAAAACAAAACAAAAAAGAGAGCAAATTAATGCCAGATTGGTGAGATTCTCAGTCATCCAGGTTATAGTCATTCCAAAAAAGTTAAGAAACAATCCATTGGACTTTGTTTCCAAGTTTGAAGACGTTTCAATTTTTTAAATTCAAATTAGTGCACTGAATTTGAATTGAAAAAGCTTCCTGGATGGGAAGCAAAACGTCTTCAAACTTGGAAACCAAGTGGATCGTTTTTTGGAATAAAACATGATGTTACATAGATGGTGTATTACAATGTTAAATAATAAGTATTTTTCTTAAAGCAACATCTCCTAACTTATGATACGCCCAATGAGATGTCTGGAAGGATTTTTATTTTAGGTCAGTATACAGCACTTACTACATATCAATGCTACATGCAGGCTAGCTTTCTCAAAAAACAGAATAGAATCGAAAATCCCTTTATTTTCCCACAAATTGTGAAACAATAAAGGTAAAAAACTTGTCTATGTAACTTGAAAGGGTTTTATCCGTTGCTGATTAAGTCATGACCTGGAGCACAGCTTTATGGTAGTTTGAGCTCCCTTTAAACATGAGTTAACAAAGCTAAAAGTTGTTAGCTAGCACAAACGTTATGCTCATTCTGCTTTTTCTCATAGTAGCTTTGCCTCGTCTGTTCCTGTTTAGCTGTGACACTATTCTGGAGAGAAATATCAGCTGTGCTGCTGCCATCAACAGCCTTGTTTATAGATGTTGGAGATCTGCCTGTTTTTCAGTGTAGTCCTGTTTCTCTGACTGTGCCTGGCTGGATGTGCTCTCTTCCTGGACGTGGTCGCCTTTTACAGTTGCCTTTGGTATCTCTGCTTCTGTCTCCTTGAACCCCAGTCGGCCTTGGCAGATGGCCGCTCACACTGAACCTGCTTCTGCTGGAGGTTTCTTCCTGTTAAAAGGGAGTTTTTCCTCTCCACTGTCCTTACAAGCATGCTTAGTGTGAGGGATTGCATCCGAGTCAATGAGTTGATGCAATCAACCGTTTTTCCTTGGATAGAAAACTATGAATTAATTTGACTGTCTTGAGATGACATGTGTTGTGAATTGGTACTATATAATTAAAATGAAATTAATTGAAAAGCTATGATTCTTACTGTACCTGTTGAGACATATTTTTAGATCTCTGATGTTGGATTTAATCCACTGGAGGGAACATTTTCTTGTCTTCACAAGTAACTCCATGATTGTTATTCTGCTGGTCCAGAGTTGTCTGCTCACAGAATCCAAAACACAGAAGGAAACTTTTATTTTGCAACTTCTCTCTACCCAGCTTCTCTCAGGGGAACTAACCCTGGAAGTTACAGGTCTAGTGCCCCTAGTGGCTAAAAGTCTTGTGCCAATCATATCATTTAATGGTCAAACTAATCTTCATTATTATCAACTTAATTTGTAGAGCGCTTTAAAGCAGCTACTGCTGAAAACAAATTGCTGAATATAGCTAAAAATAATAAAGTAAAAATATAAAGTATAAAATACAATCTATGAAATAAGGCAATAATAATACTTTGTTTAAGCTAAATGAAAAAGGTCACAACAACTAAATTCAGCCAGCAAATAAAAATAAGTTTTGAGCCGTGTTTTAAAATTTGGCAAGAAGTAGCCTCCCTAACGTGCAGCCGGAGGCTATTCCATCAAAGAGGAGCAGCGATAGAGAGGGCTTTATCTTTAGAAACCATGTTTTAAATAAACAAAAGTAAACTTGGAAAACTGTGTCAAATGCTGTTTGGGTGCACCTATGCAAAAAAAATAAAAATAAAAATCCCTGCTAACAATCAGCTAAACCACCAGTCGATTTTATAGACCGTTTCAACTTAAGCTGCACTATTTAAATACTAAATGCTACATTTAATGTATAGATTTCCTTCTAAGGATGTTTATATTTTCTACAAGTATTTTTGATAATTGATTTTATCGTTTTGTTAAAAACTAGATTTGTTAAAATCTTAATTAGTTAAAAACTATATCTAGAAAATTAGGCTAAACAGGGAAGCACTGGGCCTTTCACTGGGAAACACTAATGAATACAAGTTTTTGGCAGCTCAGTCAGGAGCTCTATTAAGGAACTGAGCCACTAATGCTCTCCATGGAAAGAAAAGAAACTTAATGGCATCCATAATTTGTCAAATTTTGTTTGGAAACCAAGCTAGTTGTTAAATGTTTAAATAATTTACCATAACTACCTATTAAGTGGTATTACTAATATAACTGACTCGTCTGCACATCACTAACTGGCCTCTGCAAGCGGTGAGCTTTGCTCTGCACCGCTTGTTTAGAAGGTTTGCACAGGCGAGGCGTTTGTATTTAATCAGGACAGAAAACCTCGCCTACATCTTCAGATCCTGCAGTTCAATTCCATTCTGACAGGGAGGAAGACATTTAGTTTGATAAACCGCCGCTCGCTCCCTGTGATTCCTCACCTCTAATTGCCTTTATTTTGGAGGGAGCCGTGGAACTGGTGTAGATTGCATTGAAAGTGAAACGCCTGTTTCTCTTTTAACAGCCTTGATCTTTTCATCGATTTCCTGCATAATAAACTTCTCTGTTTGTGATAAAGAAGCCACAATGGGGAGCAGAAGCTCGCTTTAAACAGAAATCGAGAGAAGCAGCTCCTTAGATGGTGCTGCTTTAACATTGTTGTTTTATTTTCTACAGTGTTTATCACAGGAAAAGAAATGCATGTGGAATGGATATTAAGTGTACCTTTCTTGCCTTCTGTAATGCAGTGACAGGACAGGATGCAGAGATGGAGATTGTTAGAGTGGATCACCCGGCGCTGCTCGTCCCCTCTGATGTCACAGCTATCGCTCTAGACTTTAAGGTCCTGCACCCGGTGGTGATAACCCGCCTCGGGGTGTTCTCCAGTGGGACGCTAGCTGAACTTCACAGCAATGTGACGGTGAAGCTTCTGCAGCTGGACCAGGAGGTAGTGCACAAGCCTTATGGGTTTTTTTTCTGTGTGTGAATCCTCGTAGAAACAGAGCTTAGGGTCAGCAGGAGGACTCCATATTTTACTTTTGGATCTGACTTAATTCTTTGAAAATTCTTGGTTTTCCTCTGCAGGAGGCAGTGGTTACAGCTCGCTTCAGCTCCATTAGCATGGGAACCATGGCAAACTGGGTGTGGTACAAACCAGTGGAGCAGTTCATCCTGCCCAAGGTCAGTTTCTCACACAGGGTGCCTCACTTCAATGGAACCAGAGGAGAAATCCCCCAGGCTTGAATCAGGATCAAAAACCTGGATTTTCATCTTTTTATTTTATTTTTTTTCCCCTTTTAGCTTATAAATTAAATATATATTTTTTTGCTTATCTTTATTTGAATTATTCTTTTTTATTCTTAACTTTACACATTTAATATTAACAGAAACGATCTCCAGAGGTTTTTCTCGTCAGGTTAAAGATAAATGAAGCTATATTTCCTTGTTGGGGTTTAAAGCTTTAGTTTTGCAGCTTTAGAGAAATTTGAGTCAATGCCTGAAGTGTTGTGCTGCCCTGCCTGCTGCAACATTTTTAAATATCTTGCATTTACTCATTGCTTTTTGAGAACTTAACTTTGTTGCATAATGCAGGGAGTCAAGTACCTACATTTGACATTAGTCTTTAATGCAGTGGGGGGGGGGGGGGGTCAGATAGGGTACTAAAAGTTTTCCCATAATTTCTTGTTGCATTTTATGGTAATTTTTGCAGCAGACAAACAGTAAAGCACATGAAAGTATGACGATTCTCAGCTGAACTAATGCCTTTTACTTCAGTCTACTTCTAGTCTAACACTAGAGAAAACTTTAATGGAAACCATAAGTAGCTGAATGCTAAACGCAGCTAAATACTTCACAGGAAGTGAGATTTTTTTTTTCTTGCTCCCACAACTTTGAGAACCAAATGATGTTGTTTTGAAGCCTCTGATCAGCTTTTGATCCCCCGGCATGATACTGCTACCACCATGTTTAGTGCTGCATTTCAGGTTTTGCACTCGGACAACCTTTTTTTTTTTGTGAAATCGGAGCCAAGTATGACGTAATATCACCTGACTGAAGTTTGTTTCTTTAGGGTTTTGAGGGGGCGCTGGTTTGGGAGAGTCAGGACTCTGCTCCGCTGACCACTGTCAACTCCTCCTCTGTGGAGCTCAATGATGGAGGAGGTGTCCTCAAGTTCTCCTCTGTAAGTGTTTACATTTCAAAGAAACCCAGAGCTAGATAGCCAAAAATGTTAAACTTTAAAAAGTGTTTCATTTTTTTGCTCTCTCTTATTCTTTTTTGTATTGATTTGGGGAAATTCAGATTGCAGAGGGCATATTGCCTCACAGAAGTGCTCTTGGGTTTCCTGGTCTGGCTGGAGGCTTCACATTCACCATCTACGGTCAGTTCTGCAGGGGAATCGAATCAGCTGCATGAAAACTGTTCGAGAAAAACCCTCCAAGAAACATCTGTTATAAAAAAGATAATCCCGATATAAAATACTCCAAATGCATTGCTCATTCTGGCAGGTTATGTTATTAGGTTTTATTTATATAAATATAAATATAAATATAAATATATATATATATATATATATATATATATACCTGAAGGCAACTAAACTTATACGAAATGGACACCTGCCTTTGTTGGATTATTGATTTCTGCCTGCATGTTCTTATGTCTGCTTCTGTCTGAGAATGAATTCGCAGCTATTTTGTGTGAAATGAAAGGAAATTTATTATTCAGTATTTCTGAAAACAGAACTAATGATCCATTTTATAAGATATTGCAGCTTTATCATTCCATTGACAGCCAGTAATTAGTTATCTCTTAAGGATGCATTCTTGTTTAATATCTTCCAGAATAAAAACTTTTATTTTGCTTTTTATCCATCTCAACTTGTCTGCTTTCTTTTCACTCTGCATTACCTCCATGGTGTCGGTCCTTCCTTCACTACCTGCGCGTCAGATGAAGACGGATTGTCGGGACTCCTGCGAGGCCGCGCTGCCAGAATGGAAAGGCATGCCTCCGGTTTGAAGCGGGAGGATGCTGCCCTGCAGGAGGAAAGCCTCAGGCATGGAGATATCGTGTTTGTAGACGTGGTGGACACCTACAGGAATGTGCCTTCCAAGTTGCTTCAGTTCTATAAATGGTATGCCAAGTGCTAATGACTCGATTTTCTGTCTCCAAATTGCCTGAGCCCTCAGAGGAAATCAGCAACCTGAAATGAAAGTGTGCCTTCGCCTCAAAATGTCTTTGTGCTAAAATTACGGCTGCAATCACTCAGTCGGAGAAGCTCCGTCGTTGTGAGTCATCAGATAGCAGGATGTACTGCCTGAGTGCTATCAGGCTTTAAATTGACAGCTGCAGTGGATCTGGAAAGTGTACACATTCCTGTTCAAATAGCAGGTTTTAGCCATTTTATGAAACAGGATATTCAATATCACCCAGGTATAAACTTCTAAAGGAATAAATCTGCAACCAGCTGGTTGCAATAATGTGCACAACTTTAAACCAATAGATTGTTGATCCATCTGATTTATTCCAGCCTGTGAATGTTCTCCAAATCTATCACTGAAAAACATCAGTTAGCTACTGGTCTCTTCAGGCAGGGTTCCTGCAGGTCCTTAAAAAGTCTTAAAAGGCATTGAATTCTTCAAAATAAAACTAAGGCCTTAATTGGCATTAAAATGTCTTAAATCAGTCTTTCGTAGGTCTTAATTTTTAAAACATGATAAACAGGATTATTTTTATTAGGATTTATTTTTGTAATCTAAATAAAACGTTAAAATTGACAATTTTTTTATTTTTTAATAAAAAGAAATAAATAAATAACTGCTCGCCATTATTGGTTCCGTCCCGATAGTGGAACCAATAAAAGAGTTGTTATTATTGTTATTGTGGATATTTGGGAGATGCACCATTAACTTTTTATCTGGAAAATATGAAAAAGTGTAAATGTAATGAAAATTGTCTCCAGCCAAGAGTTTTCTCCATGGCTAAAACCAGTACCAAGGAACATACATGAGGCTCAGTGGATTTTGTTCAAGAAGCCATTCAAGTTCGGAACGATGGGAATTAAGGCAGTGGAGTCACACATGCGAAGCGCAAAACACAAAGCGTCAAAATCGAGTTACCGACAAACAGCCGATATTTCTCAGTTTTTATTTCACCCTTGTCTCTGCAACGCCTCCACTTATCACCAAATCAAACATACTAAGAAAACGATATTAACAAAAAATGGCAGAATTGCAACAGGTAGAGGACGAACTGAAGAATGCATGCAGTACCGTGCCATAGCTGCAAAAAAGACTTAGTTTATGTTATGTTGTGGCTTTAAAACTGATTTGTTTTGTTCCCTGCTAAAACAAAGTTTGTGAATTCAGTTAAATAATTGTTAAAATATATCTGTCATTTGTGTGTTTTTTGCTTTCTTCCTGTATGGAAAGTTTTTCAAAATTTGAACCATTAGTGCAGTGGTTTATGTTAAAATAAACCACTAAATTCACAAGAAACACAAGAAAAACCCGCTTGCGACAACTATATCCAGTGGTTTATGTTAAAATAAACCACTGGATAAAGTTGTCGCAAGCGGGTTTTTCTTGTGTTTCTTGTGAATTTAGTCTTAAATTTTTATTTCAAGTGGCATTAAAAAGTCTTAAAAAGTCTTGAATTTAACTTGCCTTATGCTGTAGGAACCCTGTCAGTTGACCCCAGATTTTTTATTTTAATGCATTCTTTATTCTGGCTCGGCCAATGGAAGTAATTCATAGTCGATATGCACTCATATTAATGCTGAAGAATCAAACGCATTTTCTCTTCATGTTTTTAGCATAAGGTTTTTTATCTAACAGACCGGTGTAGCTCTATTTCATCCACTTTGACCCAAAATGTGGTTCCTTTTAATAAAGAGTATCTCAAAGCGCTTGATGCCACCACTGTGTTTCACTGTGGGTATGATTTTTTGTTTTTTAAGCACAGTGTTTAGAGTTTTGGGGTGGGGATGGCTCCTCAGTGCATTACCGAATTCCTCCAGCTTTACTTTCCTGCATCTTCCCTGCGGTCTGAGGCCATCTTTAGCTAATAAGGACTAAGACGAGGCTTAAAACCAGAGGGGAGAGTCTTTTTTATAGTTGGCCACAGACTATGGAATACCATGCGCTCCATATACGAACAGCCTCCACAGTAAAGTATTTTAATTCTCTTTTTAAGAAACAATTTTTTTTTTTGGCTTTTAGCACTGCATACCTGTGTGGTCCTCTGTGTTCTTTTTATTTATTTATTCATTTAAAACTTACTGCTTTTATGTATGCTATATAAATAATAAATAATGTTCTATATAAATAAAGTGGATTAGATTGAATTGGATTTTGCCTTTTGGAACAAAGTTCAACTAAAGTTCAGGTTTGAGGCCAACTAAGTTTTATCAGATGATCACACTTTCTAGCGTTTTTCATTTTTTGTTGACCTGAAAGGCTGAATTGTAACTGAAGCATCCGGCGCCTTATAAAGAGAAGCAACACCAGACCATGATGCTGCCACCATCGTGTTTCAAAACAAATATAGTTTGGTTTTTTTGGGGGTTTTTTATAGTTTGTGACCCTGACCTTAAGACTGTAACGCATTTTTCTTTAAAGTTCTAATCCAGACAAGATATTTTCTTTGAAAAAAAAGGCCTCTTACCTGCAAAGTCAAATATTAACCTTATTTAATGACAAAGGATTTCTGACTGACGACGTTGCAAATATTGTTAAACTCCAACCAGGTCAGCTGAGCTTTATTCAGATGAAGAAAAGTTGATGCCTGGAGGTACTCAAGTAAAAGTCTAAGGATCTGCAGCCAGTTAATTACAATAGGCAAATAATTTTTCGCTTAATTTATTTATTATATTAGCAGCCTCTTCAACAAGCTGTGATATATTAATATTCCGCTCACTCCTTTCTGCACTGTGTGTACAGAGGAATTCAATAATCCGTCCTCCATTAACAACTCATGTTGCTAATATTTCTGTATTATTATTTAGCCCTAATTTCCCTCAGGGGTTTGATAAAGGACCCAGCTTATTTTTATTTTATATCGTTGTTAAATTAGACAGGATTTATCACACAATTAAAGGTGAAAAGATGTTGGAATGTTTTTTTCATGGTCTCATCTTACTTGGCCTTTTCCCAGGAGTGTTTTCACTTCTCAGGTACTCTGTTTGCAGACCTCTTGCTCTCCTCTCTCTCTGTGGTATTTGAAAGTAAATCTGTAGCAAACAGTAGGATGCTCTTTAATTAAAGTTGCAAATTCCTTTTCTTCCAGGTCTGTGGGAAACGCTGACTTCAGTCTGCTGCTGAAGACGGATGATGATTGCTTCATCGACGTGGACTCGGTGTTAATGAAAATTGACCACAAGGGTCTGAGGCGCAGAAACTTCTGGTGGGGGAAGTAAGGACATTTAAGTCTTTGATCCTGTTGATTTGTTTTGGGTTTTTACCAGTGATGTTATGAGATGAGCCGAGGCGTATGTTGAGTAATGGAGGGGGCGTTTCCCCGAAGCGCGTGTCGAGGCGTGATACCACGTGACTGCGTCGCGAAGTGGTTCGGGAAGCACAAGAATTTTGACAGGCATCTAAACAGCCTCAGTGTTCAGTCAAGATGTGGGAGTTTGCTGTCAGCTGGATAAAGTTTGGATAGATTCTAAGAATAGATTGGCTGGAAAAACAACCAATCTAGTTCCTTAAAACTATTTTGGCTAAATTAAACAATGTAATGATCAAAATCTGAGCAAGCCAACGTTGGTGTGAAAACGTTAGTGTTAAATAGTATTTTCTCTATCAAACAATTAACAATATAAGGCTTCATCTGTAAGACAGACTCCCTCTCCTGAGGTTGATGGTTCAAGATCAACCTTTGGCTTTTGAAAGTTGCGATTATATTTAGTTATTTTTTCTAATGAGTCTTTGCATTGGTTTGCCCTAGTAAAGATATAGATTGGGTATAAACGCTGCCAAATTAGGTTGCTTTAGCCAAAAGATTGGCTGAACACAACTTCCAACCAAATTAAAAACCAAAAAATGTGCAAAAACTATGTTTGAATAAAAATGACTAACACCTTTCTTTTTACTCATCATTGCCCAATTTGCACAAAAACTTTCACTGTCTGAGTTTATTTCACTAAAATGGCAGAAAAACTGCACCTTAAATGAAAAAAGAAAAAATCACATATTTTATTACAAACTGTAGTTCTTCACTCAACCAGTAGGCGGGGGCATGTTCACATGGAGCCTCATGAACTGTGGTAGCCTCGTGAGACCATCCTGATGTCACAAGCTTTCAAGGTTTCACTCGCAGTTCAGTCTGGAGACTCTCCGTTAAAGAAAATTTGGAGCCTTTCAGCAAACGAACGTCCAATCAGCGTTGGCTTTGAGGCGGGTTGAGGTGTGACGCAACGAGAAGCGCGACAGTTCAGTCTAAAGAACATGGCGGCTTCAGCCGAAGAAACTAGCGTCAGCGTGGCTATCGAGCAAGTTTTATCGGAATTACAGAGTATTTCTTCACTGAAAGAAGAGCAAAACACTGCTCTGGAGGCTTTTCTCAGAGGAAAAGATGTTTTTGCTCTTCTCCCGACTGGTTTCGGCAAGAGTTTGATCTATCAATTGGCTCCTCTTCGTCGTCGCTCTGTTAGTACGTCATATGCTTCATTGATCTGATTGGTTTATTTGGCCCGTCTATCACCAACATAGGCCAATCAGCTAACCAGTATTTTTGCCCCTTCCTAAAATTACTTCAACGGAAGGTTTCCAGATGGATATGCGGAGCAAATCCACCTGGCGGAGTCAGGTTAGAACTGTGGGGATTGTTGAAGCAATTTGGCCAAACGGTTCAATGCCTCATGAGGCTACATCTCACCATCACTAGTTTTTACCCCGGGCTCTACTTTTGACAGCATATTACTTCCTGACACAGTTTCAGGCAGAGCTGGGCCGTGGATCGGATCGGAAAGTGGCAGGAGCTGGAGTACGCCAGCCCAGCTTATCCTGCGTTCGCCTGCGGCTCAGGATACGTGGTTTCTCACGACCTGGTCCAGTGGCTCGCCGGTAACGCAGAGCAGCTGAAAGCCTATCAGGTAGAGATCAGTGAGCGATGAGCAGCGGAGGCAGATCATCGTTACTGTAGAAATGAGCGACCTGTCTGGGTTTTTTTATATTACAGGGAGAAGACGTGAGCATGGGAATATGGATGGCAGCTGTCGGGCCGCAGAAGTATCAGGTAAAACAAATGAGAATCGCTTATCAGACTTTTGATGCTCCACGTTGTTCTGTCCAGTGTTCACTGTACACCTTTATTATAGCTGGATTCATAAAGGTCAGGGCTTGACATTAGGAGGGAAGATACTCCAGGAGAAAAAATGAATAAATGCAAACAAATAACTCTTCCTCCAGAGGAAAGCAGCAGCAAGGCATTTGCACATTACATAAAAGCAAAGCTGTATGAAGGAAGCCTGACCTTTATTTGTACATGTTTGTAGCTCATTATTTTTTCCTTTCCTGAAGAAAAAAATAGGAGCAGAGGTCATGTTTAATAATGGTTTATGATAAGGTCAGATGAACTACAATAATACTATTTTAAACAAGTATATTTCTTTGGAAGTAAAGTTTTATTCATGATGTATTTATGACTGTTAAAATGTTTTTTGTTGTTAAACTATACAATATTAAACAATCAACTCAGTGCAGCATTAAATAAAGGGGATCTTCTCTTGTCTTATTTTTTTAGGTGCCTCTATTGTTAAAACATTTTGTCTTATTGTCGATTAAAAAAAAAAAATGTTATAATTGTGGGATTATGCTGCTGCTGGAAAACATTAACCTATTTAAATGCTTTTTATTGTCTTCACCGGGAGGTTCCAACAAATTAGTCCATGTAATTAATCCAGCCTGAGTTTGCTGCAGATAATGAAATGACGTCTGTTTTCAGGACGCCGGCTGGTTGTGTGAGAAGGAGTGCTACCTGGACATGCTGTCATCTCCTCAGCACACAGCCAAGGAGCTGCGCATCCTCTGGGATAGGAAGAAGGTGTGTGGAGACCCCTGTGGGTGTCCCTGATCGGGCGCCGCTCCAACCCTGTAGCACTGTGGGTAAAAAAAAAACAAGAAAAGATGCACTTAAACACTTGTTCTTGTTCAGTTTCTGGAGACTTTTCTTTACTCACAAGGTGGTGCATTTAATATTATAAGACTTGAAGGGTAGGATTTTTTTCTGATGATTTACAATGTTAAAAATATTAGAAGTATTAGAATAAACAATCTGCAGTAAGGGTTTGTTGTATTTTACCGTCAGTAACTGTTAATTATAAGGTCAGTTTCACCAGAAAAATGATCTGGAAAAAATAAGAGTTTTATTAAAAGGGAAGAATCACATAAAAAAGGTTTGTATAATTGTGATTTAAAGGAGATATTCAATTGCATTTTAAAGACAACTGGTCCTGCTTTGCTTTATTTAGTGAAAATGTTACCGTCCCCTCACCGTTTGTAGATTCCTCACAAGCAGAAATTATTTGTACTGTATCAGTTCTCGTGCGAGTAGTGAGCGATGTGGCCTTACTGTGTTTGTTCAGCATCATTCTGTTCGTACGTGAGCCTTAAGCACAGACTGGAAGAGCGACTACGAAGCGGACATTGGAACCCAGAGGAGAGATGAAGGACTTTGCTTCCCGTTTATTTCGGGGCAGAAAACTCTACTGTTGCGGCTGCAGCTTTAAGGTTTGACGTATGCAGTCGGGCAGACTGAGTTTTCTTGAAAAGGAATATAAAATCAGCCCTAGTAATTGTGTTGCCGTGACAGGGGGCTGAAATCTGCAGGAATATTTTAAAAAGGAGATAGAAAGTGTGAAGCGCTCCCCCTTTGCTCTGATGGATGTTAATCTGAAGCGCTGACGACAGCAGAAGCAGTCTGAAGCTAAGTTATTAGAGTTAATATTCCCCCTCTGGCTGTTTGTTTTTGTAAATAATGAAAGATGATGCTTAATATTTTATTAAAGCAGGATTATAAAACAATGTTTTTTGTGTTCAGTTTATTTCTACTAACATGGCAGCAGAAACTCATCCTTTAACCTCCTCCCCTTCACTCGGCTTCATGATAACGGAGTCACATCCTGCATCTGTTCCACTCTCTCAGCTAGATAAGCACGCCATTTTTTTCTCAGCCCATCAGCTTCTCCCCCTGATTCTGCTCGAAGCCCTTCGTTGTGAGCCGATAGCAGCGTGGAAATGACACGGGAGATGAAAAATAATCTGGCTTTCTGTACGAGTGCCTCTGTAGATTATGGAGTTATTGATTTTTGTCTTAACTTTGATGGGCGATGTTGAAACGCTGTCACATGCTGACATATCCCAAATCCTCTAAATCCTTGATTCGCAGGCCTGCTCAGACGTACATTCAGATCTATCCAGATAATGAAATCAGCTGAACTGTAACTGGGGACAAATTGGAGCATGTTTAGTAGAAGATCTGTTATGTTTTGTCTTCTGATTTTCCTCCAGCTTCTCTGTTATAAGAAAAAAAACTGCTCTGTTTCCTATCGCCTTAAATGTATTCACACCCTCTGAGCTTCCTCTCATTTTGTAACATTAGAACCAAAAGCTTAGTTGTATTTAATGAGGCAACACAAAGCGGTGCATAATTGTGATCACGCCACAAATAGACTCGGCCTATAAAAGTTTGAGAAGTGTAGAATGTGCTTTTAGATTTTTTCCAGGTTTAGATTAATGTGAAAACCAATTAGTATTGGGAAAAAATGCGTGAAATTTACTGAATACTTTTTTCCTCTTCGGTTCTTTTAAAAGTCCAACCCTGCCTGATGGATTTAGTGTTTTTCTTACTGATTTATTGGTCTTTGATCCAAGGCACTGATTCTAAACATTTTATTTGTCACTATTTGGTGTTTCCACTCAGGATATAAGCTCACTCATTTACTTAATAAATAAGGATCAGTTCAGGTTGAACTCAGCTTGTGGATTTTATTGGGGTCTGAATGCCAATTGAAGCTTTAAAGCTGTTTTGAAGAGCAAACTGGGCTTTAAGAAACTCTTTATTTTTATGCCCTATCAATACCCACACTCAACCACTTTCTTATGCCAATTTCTTATGGATTTCCCCCCCTTCTACTGTCTCCACTTGCCCCTTTCCACCTCACCAACTGTCAAATGTTAAATACTGTGCACCTGGAGAATAAATAAACCATATACATATATATGTGGTAACTTTAGTTGATGAGCTCTGACTACTATTTAACTAAAAAAAAAAAAGAGTCCAGAATGTCATAGAAATCTAAAAATGCAAAACTTGACAAATATGTCACGTGCTAGTAAAATGTTAATTGCTTTAAAGCGTGTAGAGGAAGTGTAAATATGCAGTGGAACCTATTCCTGCACAACCAGCTGTGCTCCCTAGAACAGCCAGCTGTTGGGAACAACTGCAAACATCCCAACACATGGGTTTTCACTAGAGGTGAGTATTGGCATGAGTGTTGCGATTCGATACATATCGCGATACTTGGGTCACGATACGATATTATCACGATACTGTAGTATCACTATATATTGCCATATTTTCCCCAGCTATCAAAATCAAATGATGAGATAAAACAGCAAGTGTTGTGTATTTTCATCAGAAAATATTGATTAGGTATTATTATCCATGTTGTTTGGGGTTTTCTTCCACTGTGACTGCCTCAAATACAGATTTGGTGCTGCACGCACAGTTAAAGGGCTCCACAGCGCTTTCTGCCAGAGTGGTGGTGCAGAGGTTGCCCATTTTCTCATCAATGTTTTATGTAACCATTTTTTTTTTTTTTTATCGATACTAAGAAGTGAAAGATCGATATTATATTGGGCATATCACGATATATCGCCAAAACGATTATTTCCCACACCCCTAGTTTTCACCTGAACTGACGGACTAGTTACGGAGAGCATTAACCCAAGAAGGAGCCTAGGGGCTAAAAGTAACTCTAGAGGAGGTGCAGACATCCACAACTCAAGTGGGGAAATCTGTTGAAAGGCTCTAAAAACCAAGAATTCATGAAAAGTGTAAGAGGTTCTGTGAGTTATTTAGAGGGAATGGTAGACATTAGAAGGAAAACTGGCCAGAAGAAACTAAAGATCCTGGCTTTCATGCAAACCACACAGACTCCGCAATGGAACACGGCGGTGCCACTGCATGCTTTTCTGAAGCAGGACATGTAAGCTGCTAAATCCTGGAGGAACGCCCATAAGGGGGCCAAGACCCAAACATTCAGCCAGAGTTACGATAAAATATTTTAAATCCAAGATAATGTGTTGTAATGGTCTAGTGTCAGGTCTAAGCACCTAAAACATCATACATACATACAGGGAAAGAAAGAAGGCACAGAGACAGTTAATTTAGTTACTCGCGAGGAGAGTAGGAAGAGACTGCAGAGTTTACAATCTCCACCCCACTCTGCAGTCTTCAGCTTTCTCCTTGCTATTTATTGAAGAAAAGAGGATGTCCCTAATTACACCAGCTGAGGTTTAACTAAGGGAAAGGGAAACAAAAGGATCTTACTTTAAACCTCAGCACATATGTTAAAACAAAGCATGTGGTTGTTTTACAATTGAATTGTTCCAAGAACACATGTTTAGAAGAAACATGTGATAGAGGATGTTCAGGCCTCCTTCACAACCCGTCCGTTGCATGACCTTTATCTGGAGCAATCTTAAGCAAGAGTTAATAAAAGATGAATCACACATCAGAGATAATGTGTTGTAATGGTCTAGTCAAAGTCCAGACCCTAAATCCACTTCTAAATTTGTAACTGAAAACTAGAACCATGCATCTTTTTCCTTCTATTTTACTCAAATTTACCGCTTAGTTTTAGTTTGTCAGATAAAATCAAGATGAAATAATTAAAGTTTGTGACAAAATGTCAGCGATTGTTTTGCTCAGCCTCTTATTAAAATAAAAGATCTTTTCAGGGTGTTTTATGTTAAACCGGACATGTGGATAGGAAAAAATAAACAAAAATATGTTACATCACATTAAAAATACCTGCAACTCAACAATCTAAACCAAAAAAGCAGTATAACTGGGTCTAATGAAGAGATGTAATTTCCCCGACTCGAATTTGATTCTGTTTGATCATTATAGACCCAGACTAGTTTAGTCTGCCCTTAAGCATATGTACAGTTTCTTACTTTTCCACGTTATGACAAGAGTACACTCTCTCATTTTCACTCTATTAATATTTCTCTGAGAGAGTGCAATCGTCAGTTTTAGTATGTGAAAGGTACAGCCTGTAGAAAATAGAGGGGAACGGGGGTCACGCTGCATTTAATTGTATTTAGAAAAACCCTTTTCATCTTGAGTCTCACTTCTTCCTCAAACTCATCTTCCTGCCGCAGATTGAATAAAAGGATTTGTTGATGGTACAAATTTGAGTCCTGTTTTATTTAATGGCTTCTGCAGAGGCTTTGTTATATGCACTCTATGTATGTAATTTTTTTCCATTGAGGCATGAAATGAGTGCACTTTTTTTAAAAGAACCTGCTAGATGTAGCGTGAAGCAATCTTAGAAAGCCCTTTTTGATGTTTTATTTTCCCTCAAGTTGAATACTTCTACCTTTACTTCAACCACATCCCCTTATAATACGCCATTTAATGTAACTGTCTTTACAGTTTATTTCCTACAGAAGATATTCCACACTTTGGTGTTATATTAGTTCATTTCTATCATAACAATCTTATTTTAGAATTTGTTTGTGTACATGACTTTCTCAGTAAACAGTCTGCAACAGGGGGTTTCATATCATGTAATGATTTAAACAAATTTTCTTTATAATCTACTCCGAGGAAATGTTTTTATGTGACTGATTATAATAAATATCTACCAGCAGGAGGTCCCTCGTTTCTTTAAGCTTTACTTCCAAGCTGCAGGACTTTGCTGAAATCTTTTGAAGTCTTCCTAATATGTCTTGAAGCGTTCTGAAGCTCTTTGAAAGGGTTTCTTTGATTTATTTCCTAATTTTTCAGGTCAAATATCAGACTACTGTCAGAAAAATGTTTTCTAATTTACCTAACTCTGCTACCTTCATACCCATTAAGCATTTTACATTTTGTCAAACACCATTTTTTTCCTGTGTGATGGAGCAACACTAATTAGTATTTTTTATAGACAGAAGTAAACCTGTATGATTTAATGAGTGCAGTTCAGTGAAGGACAG